CGCCGCGGGGCGGGGCCGCGGCTGCGCCCTGGGCGGGCGGGGCCGTGTGGGGAGGTTCCGGCCGGGCCCTGCCCCGGCAGGGCGGAAAGGGGAATAAATTCCGTTTTCTTTCTTAAACAGCGGGAGGAGTTGCGAACTGTGTTTTTTGGGGATGTCCCAGAGACCCAGGTGGCCTAAGCTTCCTGTGGTACAGCGGCTGCTGGACCGGCCCTGTATTCCCTGGGATTGCAGTGCCTGTTGTTACTCTGCCACTGTACTGTAAATAAAAATGATGTTTTATTCAAGTTTAATACTGGTGGAACAGCCGTAAAAATCCCCAACTAAATAAAGCTACTGAAAATATAGTCTCTAATATCCATGCTAATGACTGTGGAGATCAATTTTGGACGTATTTTCTACACAGTCTGGCAACCTCACATAAAAATTAATGTACACTTTAATCACCTCAGCTTTCTGCCTCTCCTTACTGTTTAACAGCCAGCTAAATAAATATAATGAACAAGGGATTCTGTTATGATGTGCATTATTAACAGGATTGTTTATTAAATTCTTAATCGGTAACATCCGCTTTCTTATTTGTTCATTGAAGACAAATAGTAATTTGATTGCTGGAAGATTAATAGCTGCTTCAGATATGCACTAATAAGGAATTATTTCTGGCTTTTAGGTCCGAATTTACAGTGAACATTCTGTACCTCAAATAATTTCCAAAAAGAGGAATATACAATAGATTCTTAAGCAAATCTTTCACTCCCCTCAATTATAAAAAGCTTGGTACAGCATCATGCTGTGCTTTAAAACAGAAGGCAAAACAGTTCCTGGATAAATTTTTAAACTTCACATTTTTCTGGCCAGAAGGAACATATTTAATTATCTTTTCTATGTGTGTTATTGCATTTGGCGCTGTTTCACAGCGGAAACCACAGATTAGAAGCAGCAGTATTCTGCAAAATTCATAATTACTCTTATAGTTTGAACAAAGAAAAAGAGAAAATTTTACTCCAGGTACAGAGAGAAAGAAACCGAACAAGAAACTAACAGATACTCCTTTGCCTCTGCACTTTTTTTTCTTAAGTGCAGTCAAATTAAATCAATATATAGAAAAACATTTCATTTGCAGAGCAGCATTCATAGCCATCCACCAAACTGCAGTTTGTTTGGTAAATAGACTCTGGACAGGTAATCTGATGAGAGAGAAGTTAAAACTTGAATTTCAGCCTTCAGTTTAGATGCTGCCATAATTTCCAGCTAGAAGAGGAAAAAAAAAGAGCAAAAATTAATATATATATAGGAAGTGAGAAAATTCCATCTACTCATTGTATGTGCATGTTAGAGCTGTAAAGTGGTTCAGAGAGACAACTCAGGCTTTCTCAATCTTGCCTTCTTTTAGGACTACAAAACCTGGCTGGTTGTGCTATCCTAAGAACTTGTCAGATATAGGATTTGTCCTGTGGGGAGTAAGAAATAAAAAACAGTATGTTTATACAGACCTCTTTTTTCCACAGTGGCTGACAAGCAATGTAAGGTCTCTTTTGAATACTTGCTAACTTATTTTCATCTTGCTTTGTAAATGGAATCAAGGCATCTTTGCATATGTTTAATCTGAAAAGAAAATAAAATTCCTAAACTTTCTCACGCACTTTAAAATATATTTATTTATCTTATTTCCTTGTATTAAGCCAAAATTATGCATGAAAGGAGCAATGGATTTTTGTGCAGTAAGTGAGACTGCGCTTCCTCTCTGTGGAGCAGAAGGGTACTTCTTTTTCTTTTGAGGAGATAGCTCACCTCTCGAGATCAGATGGAAGGAGACCAAGCCACTTGACAGAGGGTACGGTGAGATGATGGGCCTCAAAGGACATTGACTAAAATAAGAAAGGTCAGCTATAACATTCCTTGATCTTTAGTTTGACTTGTGATGTTCTTTTTCCATTTCTCTACTGACCAGTTCACCCATCAGGTCCTGCCCTCTGCCTTCACCTTTATCTGCCTGCCTTCTGTGTTGTGTTTCCATATTCTCTGTAGCCATGTAACATGATAATACTTTCTTGTTTCTCTTGCCTCTTCTTCCATAATGTTCCACACTAACACAAGTATCCCTAAGCAAATTCTCACGCCAGAATGAAATCTTCACCAAAATAACATTATATTGTGGAGAATCACCCATCTCACCCATTAGGTTCTCCTCCTCCCAAGGTCCCTCCAGCCTTCATTCCTCTTCTAAGGCAGAAACAAACATAAATGGTGAACCCTTTTCTATTTGGACTGTCTGAAAACTGCCTGTGCAGCAGAGAAAAACTGTGAAATATGGTTAAATGAAACACCTGGCATTACTATCCATTTTTTTGTTGTTGTTGCAGGAAGAAGCTGTTTCTGCAGACACACAAGGCCTAAAAATCACCTCTTTGTGTTGAAACAAAATGGTAAAAAGCAGCACCCATTCTGACAAAGGCTGTAGCATTTCATGCATTCCAGCTTCCAGGCTGGGCTACAAAACAATGTATTTGAAGGGGAAAAAAATATACTCACCACAGATCCATATTTGTAGATGCACATTATTTCTATACCTGGGTTACAGAACAGCAAAAGTCAAGTGTTTGTCTGCACAATGGACATGTTTAAGGAGACTGTTTAAAAAAATCAGTTTTATGGCACAACTGTTATGGCTTTATGATTAGTGAGGTTCTTATGGTTTACACATATCTTTGGATTATGTCAAAATAATCAGAATCTCAGCATGTCACCTTCATATAGTTAAATGTTTCATGCTGTGTGCAGTCCATTCATACCCAAGGATAATGATCTCTTTTACACATTGTCAAACATCTCTTATTAAAAGTGTCCTTCTTTATCCTGTGTAATTCATATCTCTTAATATTTCTTTGAGCAGCTGCTTCTCAGTTTGCAGTAATCTCCCTAATTTAAGGTGGGATCGATGTAGATACATCACCTTCTGATTCTGTTGGCTTCCTGAGCTGTCAGAACCTTCCCATAAGAGTGAGAAAGTACATTCTAAACAAATTTTGCTTTCCTTTCATGCCTTTGAACCTCTAAAAATTTACCATGTGGATCTGCATCCATAAGGGTGAAAATAGGAATTTGAAAACAATCCCATAGCTTCCTGACCAAAAGTCGTGTATTAAGATCTGGTATGCCTCTTCCCTAAAGAAATGAAAAAAAAGTAGATGGTTTTAAATTAACTGAAACAACATCTGGCTACACATGTGTTTACATTTGCCATTTAAATGCAAGCAAACAAACAAACTGCTGGCAGAAACATTTCTCCAGCAGCTTTCCCTGTTTTGCAGGGAAAGTTCTATGCTCCTATTTTGGCTTTGGGCAGAGAGAGGGCCAGGCTGGGAGCAGCTGGGCAGGTGTTCTGGATTATGGGCACTGCAGAAGTTGCCTGAACACTTGCCTGTTCAAGAAATTAATTTGTAAGGTCTGGGAGCTGATGCACAGATATATGCTGTTGTCTGCGTGGGCTGGTGTAAGAAGGCCACTGTTTTATCTTAAAAAAATACTTATGGCACTAATGGAACACTATAAAACAAGTCCTTGCTATGACTGACTGAGCTGAACTATTTGTGGCACAGCGTAGTAGAAGTGCTTATCTCTCTTAGGAATGGTGAAATGTTTTTTCCTGATTGTATGCATATTTCATTTACACATTCCTGTTAATTCCCCTGGCTCCATAGCTCTTTCAGTACAATCCAAAATCAACCAATTCTGTTTCATTTGGGTTTGCAAAACCTCAGGTCCAGAAGGACAAAAGGTCACTCAACAGCTGAGCCTTTCTGAGACTGAGCAGCAGCTTTGCAGCAGCACAGGGAGCTGATAAGCTACCAAGCTCTAAGGAGATGTTTGGAGGAAATAAGTCTTTAGAACATGTATTTCATATTTCTGTGAGGATAATTACATTTTAAAAATTATTGTTAAATATGTTTCAAATTAATTTTATTATGGCCTTTTGCCCAAGTTTGAGCAGTTCTACAGTGCTAAAGTATTCCTTCAATTAGGTGTAGCTGGAGGATATGAAACATAAGGTGCATACCGTGATCATGATACATGGGGACACTTTATTGAAGAAGTCATCATCCAGGAGTCTCTGGAAAGTTGCATCTTTTTCTACAATTAATATAAATTTGGCATGTGAGGTTAAATCTTTTGTGTTAAGGCCAGCTGCGTGTAAAATGATCCATCACACCAATCAATTAAAACCAAGTGCTCTAAAATACCTGTCCTGGAGCCAAGAGCAGTGATCATGACTCAATGTCAGAGCCAACAAGGAAAGCAAAATTTACCAGAACATTGTTTAACTTGGAATATTCCTTGTTTTTACTTTCTTTTTTTTCCTTCTACGATTAGAGTTCTTGCTCAAAGGATACTTTTAATTCCTTGAACATTAGATGGCACCGTGACTGCCTAAAGCAACAAAAATGAGATTAATCATTTCAAATAGAGAAAATGATATATTTTAAAATAACAACATTAGGTAATGAAGGACAGGATTTCATCCTGAAACCACCATTCCTCCTCTATATGCAAGATCAGTTCTGACATTTTCACCTCTTTACAAGTGTATTCAGCCATTCATATGCACTATTCTGTAGTATTCAGCCATTCATATGCACTATTCTGTAGTGGTCGAGGAGTCCTCCTGTCACAACAAGATGCTTTTCAAAATTATTTGTGCCATTGTTGCAGAAAATTGATCATCTTGTGATCATGAAGAAGATAATAGTGCCCTGATTAATGTTTTATCTGTCTTAGCCAGAAAAAAAGTCTGCTTGGTGTGAAGATTGCAAATTTAATACAGACTTTAAGCATTCTTTTTGTAAAACCATTAAATTAATTCTTTTATTGACCTCTAACCTGATTTTATGAATATTTTAGAGCAACAACTTGAAGACATGGTGAAGTTTACTTTACATCTTCAATTAGGATTGGCTGAATCTGGCAAGCATATGGATTTCAATTTTGAAATGACCAACTAAGTCTTACAATAAACATTTTTGAGAAAATTGTGACAGTAGTCAGCAAGTCTGAGTTTTATTTCTGCTTTCATACTCTGCACTGCTGTAGAAAATCTTTCAGGCCTAGGCCAGTTGAATCTCATCCTCTTAAACCAATTTTAACTTGTTTTCTCTCTGCCAGAGTTCTATCTGCTGTGACAGAAATGCTGTATATCCAGAGTGCACGTGATTCTTTGCTTCAAGAGCACTCATTTGACAGAACACTGTAATATAAATCCTAAGATATATAATATATACACCTTCCTCTGCAAGGATTCCATGGCAGAAGGTAGTGCTAAAATCCTTATACAAAGATTTATTCCTGGTGAGTTTAGAGCTAAGCTTCAGAATTACAGTTCAGTTAATAAGCAATATTTTCATCAGTTTTATTCACCCAGGTTGTAATGCCTCAATTTGCCACAAGCAGAAGTTTGTGTAATAAATGTACACTGTAACCTGAGCTCCAAGGAGTGCAGGATGTCTTAATATACAAGCAGATGTTATGGATTGTGTTTGTGGTTTATTATACATACTGTTGCACTGCAGGTACAATTCACTTTTGTACCATCTTCCTCAGTGTAACTTAAATTACCAGCAACAAAACCTTTAGTTGTAGACAGCTGGAAAAAAATAGTAAGTTGTACAGAGTAAATGGGAAGTTACTATACTGCACAGACAAAACAAGAAATCTCTGAGAAGAATCCCGACTGGTACTAAGCAGTGATTCACTGCCATCAGCCTTTTAAACACTAAGCAATGTTTTATCCTCATAGACCTAAGGAGTTACTTACAATAAATAATTTTAGGTATGAAGGAACTCGTGTAAAACATGAGATACAAGTCAATATGACAGGTAGTTACATTTGTGATGTACTTTAACATTTCATTTAACCCCCAAATTATCAATTCATTTGAGTAGAAACTTATAAATGGGTGTCTTGCATTCTGAAGTTTGAGCACTGCCTTAACTAGATGATAACAAAAGCCCCTGTGTTTTAGTGGGCAGTTTGTTCCAAACCCTTTGGAAAAAGCAAACTCTGAATTTTCTGTGAAGAAAAAACCCTTTTGAATGCCACAATAAACCATAACTAAGTTTTATTAGCACCAATAAGACTTTTTATTTTAACTACCACAACACTTTGGCTCCCAAACAGTAGAGTATCTGAATAATATATATCTCTACCAAGACAAAATATTGTATTTGTAACTATAATACTGAAACAGCTGCAGGCCCATGAGAATTTTATAAAATATATGATTAACCAGATAAACCTAAAGCATTCTGTGTACAGGAATCCTGCAGGTTTTCATCCTACAGGTTGATTTTCACAAAAACATACTTAAAACACAGCTTCATTTGAAATTGCAGAAATTGACTCCATTACCTTTTAGTTGCATAAGTGTTGCTCTGCACCATCTTATAGATCATTGATAATATCTTGAGCATCAAAGCTGAAAAAAATCCATTTTACAAAACATTCTATTCATTTTCAGAAATGTATATACAATAATTTATCTTTATATAAGACCATATTTTTGTCCCATAAATAAAAGTTTGAAATGTACAGTGAAAATACAGAGAGATTGTAGTATTCAATAGACTCATTAATTTCTAGCATAATGAGAAAAAATATGAGGGAGTTAAGTGAGTGAATGTATTCACTAATGTCCAGGCCAAGAAATTAAATGACTGAGTTGGAAAAAGAAATGAGCTTATTGTCTGTAGTCCAAGATTCCTTTCCTGGCCAGCTTTTTGAAGAAGGGTGATGTTTTTACATGAAGACTTATTAAATATGCCTTTAGTTGATATCCATTGAGGGAGGGGAGAAACTCTAACAATATTGTATTAATTTCACTGTCACTCACTATAATTAAATAGAGGAAAAAAGAGAAAAGTTGAAAGGCTGATCATAGTATCAGGTTATATCAGCCACACACTCCCAAACTGTGGTGCATAATATTTTAATTTCTTGTTGTTTTTTTAGTGAACTTGGGAACTAAGGGGAAAAAAAAATAAAGAAAAGCCTGAGAACTCTGCTTTGGACTTTTTTTTTAACTTACCAAATCTTCTTGCAGATTGAGGGCAGTCACTTCTTATTTGTTTTGTAGTACAACCTGGTATCATCTGTAGACCTACAGAATCTTTAAATCTGACAAAATGCAAACAAACACAATAAACTGCAAACTCCCTGAGTACAGGTAAATTGTTCTCTGCAAGGTTACTCAGAGTCAGAAACCCCTTTCCTATGATCAAATACAGCAGTGCTATTTTTGGATCCAGCCCAGAAAACATCAGCTTGGTTGGGCTTGGGGTGGCCAAAAGAAAAAGGCAGCAAAGAGTTTCTCGAAAAGATGCGTCAAGACCGAATTAAAGTATAAAGTAGATAAGTTTCCAGACAGAAATAGAGGCAAGAAAAGTATTTTATACATGTTTAGAACTGCTAGCATCAGTAATTACTTAGTATGAAGACAAAGGGATAAATGAGAAGAAAAAATCTGAATCATTATTAAAATAAAAATCATCCGACACAAGTGACTTCCTGACGTAGACTGACGAAACAGTGTTTCTATTTCAGAATACATATTACTATCTAAATGATGCCCTTAAATTGTTATCAGGATAGCTTAATTGTATTCTGCTATTAAGGGTTGGAAACAAAAAGGGGGTGTATCTTCCTCTCTAAACAGTTGTTTAACCTAAATGAGCTCCACTATTTCATGTTTCACCATTTCCCATCTGAAGGTGCACATTTCACCAAAAGTATCAGTTATTTACTTAAGGGCACCTCATTATTTTACTTAAAATTGATTTAGACCCTTATGATTCTGCCTTTAAAGCATTCTTTTTCATTTCAGAGCTCTGTATGCACTTTTGAAAAATGCTGGTGGTTTAATGGCTATAATTTTATCCTACATCACATCATGTTTCCAAATTCGTTTGTCCAAGGTTTTGCTCCGCGCGTCCTTTGGGTGGCAGAGCACGCACGCTGCACAAATCTACAGGGACAGCCCGATGTAGCATCTGCCTGGCAGCTTTAAAGTAACTTTATTGCCTTTGTGTTGTAACATTTTAAAGTTGTTTGTGCTTTTCCCTTGCCTGCTCCCAACATTGTAACTGAAAAGGAGGAAAAAGGTAATCAACACTGTCCTGAATTACTCTCAGGTTAAACCCATATCACTCCCATTCTTCCCAGGGCTGTTCTTACTCCCGTATCTGTAGATCACACTTCTTCACCAGAAATAATGGTTCTGCTCTTTTTGATGTGATTGATGACTCTTATTTTTAACATACTGTGATCTTAACTTAATTTGAATATTTTCCCCCATATGTTTTTGGATGGTAACTAACAGTTCACATTTGTTTTTCTAGCATGGAACACCATTTCCCCAAAGACTGCCAAAAATTGCAAAACTTTGTTAGATTATTTTAATTTTACATACATCTGAGGGAAACATTTTTGTCAAACTATCAAGACACAAACCATTAAATTCCCTGGAACCTACAAGCCTTTCAGTTAACTGATTACCTTCAGGCCCCTCAGGTTTTTTGATTGGCAGAAGTTTATTGTTCTCATTAAATGAGTATTCCACCAGAGTGTTATGCCTGGAAACAGGCTGTGCTTCCTCAACCTTAAATGTTTGTAATGTGTCCATTTACAAGCACCTCTGCAATTTTATCAGTCTGAATATCCTTTAACCCACTGATATCCAATGCTGTTAAAAGGCCAGAAATACGTTTGTGTCTTCCTTTATTCTTTTGTTATATATTGTAGAAATCAGCTAATCTCTCAGGTTTGGGGATTTTCAGTTTAAATGAACTCCTTGGAATAATACTGCTGCATAAGGAACTTCTACAAATCACAGAATGTGCTGTAAAGGAGGACAGTTTTCTTTTTCTCTGGTCCTATTTATGTCAGCTGGCAGAAGATCTGAAATTTAAATAACATACTGGAAATTTGGTTTGCTTTATTTTGCTGGTAATGAACTGAGAGCAGCACACAGGTAAGAAACACAGCAGGGAGAGGTGAGATGCATCTTCTCTGAATAATAAAAGAATAAGTTTATCACTATCATTTAAAGAAATGTGATACCATGAGGAAAAGAAAAAAAAAAAAAAAAAGAAGAAAATAGGAAGCACTCAAAGGGTTTGAAAGACAGAATTGCCAGTAATTTCCTCCAGCCTAAACCAGTTTTTTTCACTCTAACACAGCCTATCATTTCTGGTTTCTACTGCTTCCAGAAAAAGATTGTTTATAGGACCAGCCTTTCCTTTCCAGCCCCTATTACAGTAGTTTTACATTTCCCTTTGTGCTATGGTCTGCTATTACTTAATACATGATGTCTGTTCAGAGTGGTTACTAAGTTTTACTTTTTATTTGTCCATTACTTTTTAAAATTATTTATTGATTCTAATGCTTATAGAATGATTATGTATGATTAACTTTTCTGGAAGTTGCATAATCAAATTCATATTCATGACATTTGTATTAATAGAAGCCAGGACTTTAGAATATTTACTACTTACTCGATGTTCCTCCAGTCTGTTCTGTTAGCCACTGTGAGAACAGGTGCTTTATTTTGAGCCAGGCTTTGAAATATACCTTGGATAACATTTTCTATTGCTTCAAGAACCTCAGAACTGAAACAAAGAGAATTAATGACACAGATCATATGATAAAATCTAGTTCTACTTTAAGTTTTTAAACTATCCCACTCTTACAAAAATCATGTGAGCCAAAACTGCTTACAGCATTCTTTAGTTTCAGAAGTGTGGAGGAACACCTTCATTTTCAAATTTTGTTTTGCTCTGTTTCCCTAAAGCCTTTGCCTTTCCATTGCAAATGCATGACTAGAGGACACAATTTAAAGTATATTTCTATTCAATCCTGTAACCATCAAATTTTTCACCAGCTGAACTTCTAGACCAACTGGCTGGTTTGTGACTAATGATTAATGTTTTACTATAAATGAGGTAATATTGGCTTTGGCCATGATTTTGGCGAAGTTGTTTTTAAATGCTATAAATTTTAAAAGTGTTCAAGAGTACAAATACTTCCTGTTGTACCATTGCACATTAACCTTTTGATCTGCTGCCCTGAACAAACTGCTAAGGATTTTAATTACACGAAGGCTCAGGCTCAACAGACGCACCATGGAAAGAATCAAATCTGTATCTTTCACCTAAAAAGACAAAGCAGCTTTGCAGCAGATCCCTTACAGCAAAACTCCAGGCTGGTTTGAGTGTTATGACAGATGCTTTTTATTTTCATAAGCAATCTGACTCCAGCATTTCAGCTGTCCTTAAAATTTCAAGTGTACTCTGCACTGTCCTAAGTCTAGGTAGGAATTAGAGAATTCATGGAACTTATTTTAGCCCAAAGTTTTATCAGCAAAGTCTAATTCTGTCATTAAGTAATATGCAGAGAAAAGATGAGTCAATATCAGTGCATGCCACACAAAATTAATTATCTCAAATCAGCAAGAATGATTTTTAAGATTAAGTAGAGTTTCCTTAAACAATAATGAGCTGTCATTAAAGCTCCCTTCTATCAGCTGAATATGTTTCTATCATTTTATGTCTTAGCTTCCATACTCTCTCCACTTTGCTGAAACTTAATTATAATTTTTTTAGAACAATTTAAAGTTCCAGAATAAAAAATTAGTGTTGAAGACAATAAAAATCTGTATGGGCAGATGGATGAAAGAACCGATAGGTAGGAATTCTAAATCACATTATTACTTTGATACTCATACATATTTTACTTATTAATTTGACCCTGCCCACTTTAACTACCTTAATATTCCAGATGTACTTCAAAGTTTTCTGCAGAATTTGCAAGTCCAGGTTTCTGTTCCAATCTCAATTTCCCCACTTGTTAGCCAACAGAAATTGGAAATATAATATGCAAAATGTAGAATAGGAAGAAGAGGGCAGGAAGTCTCTGTGTACCCCCTGCTGATATTCTGTCTCTTTTTGCAGAGATTATCTGAATTTTAATAAGCAAACATATGACACTGGCCAAGTATGCCTACTTAAAATTCACTGTGGTGTAGTTAACAATGACATCTGAGCAGAGAAGGGGAAGGTGCTGCACAGCTCACAGGGTTTGCCTGGTCACTTCTAACAGGTTGCAGCAGAATGGATACTTATTTCTATATAAAAGGAGAAATGATCTTCAGCATAAAGGGCAAAAAATATTTATATTATAGCACCTTTAGCAAACTAACAATATAAACCAAAGAAACAGTTACAAAGAAAAATCTGCAATGTAATAAACCAGCACAATACAAAAGTTAGTACTGTGTATCGCTAAAGTCATGAGTCAGAGACCAAGAAATCTCCAAAGAGTAATGTTAATAATATCCTTTTATTTTTAAAATACTTTCACGATGCTCCCAGACTGTTCTAGCTGCTGAGGCTGATATGCTGTGTGCAGAAAGACTTTAAAATTGGCAAGGGTTTTTTGTTGGTGTAATTCAGTATGCTCGTTTTGTCATAGTTTTTTGTATTTCAGTAGTCACAGATTTTTTGGAGAGGTCTGAGGGAATGAAGATGTTGTTTGCAATTCGAGGCCCCATTTGTTTTAGAATTTTGGATGATGTTTTGGCTTTAGCATGAGCCTGTTTGGTGCAATAGTGTTCTACCTACTTAAGCATTACCACAGAAAGAGAGTAGAGGTGCTATATTTCACATTTTTTACCTGGGGACATGACTTTCCTGACCAGACAGACTTGATTCCCTGAAGCTGGCCTTGTTCCCAGCTGGTGTTTCAGTGGAACACAGACCATGCTCCTCCATTGAGGCTGGTGAAGGTCAGTCCAACTTCTCTGGATAGGGAAGAAGCCCAGTTAAAAAGAGACAAAAAGAGGTTATCACAGAAATTGGAAATCACTCTTCTGCTTGCTGGATGTAAAACTCATGACCTGAGCTCAAACCACAGGGTCACACAGAAAAGGCGGTAATTTGCTGTAGAAACCAAAGTCAAGGTTTTCCCACCCTTCCTGAATGACCAACTGAGGGCTTCTCCCTCCCTTCATAATAAGCAGGAGCTGGCACATGCTGTCCTGACCACCTGAGGGCTTTTTCCACCCGTCCTGCCTGAGGGCTTTTCCTGACCATCCTGACCAACTCAGAGCATCTCCCACCCTTCCAGAACAACCAAGGGCGTTTCCTGCTCTTCCTGACCAGCCAAGGGATTCTCCCACTCTTCTTAATTGACCAAGGACTTTTTCTGCCATTCCAGAATGACAAAGAGCTTTTTCTGGCCTTTCTGACTGGCTGAGGGCATTTCCCGCCCTTTCTGACCAGCTGAGGTTTTCCTGCCTTTTCTGACCAGATAAGGCCTTTTCCTATCCTGATTGATCAACGGAGAGATTTTCCCACTTTTTCTTAACCAACCAATGGCTTTTCCCACCTTTCCTGACCTGCCAAGGGCTTTTTCCACCTGTCCTGACTGACCAAGGGCCGCGCCCGCTGCTTTTGGTGCCTGAGGGCTCTTCCCGCCTTTTCCTGACAGACAGGCGGAGGCCCCGCCCACCCTGAGGGGCCATGGCCTGCGCTGGACACTGACCCTCAGGCCCGTCCATGGAGCTGGTGGCTGACCACAGACCCCACAGCACCCCGGCTTCTGGAATAAACCCAACCAAGCTGGCTGGAATGTGCCCAAAGAGCCGATGGCTTCTCATCCCGCCATTTTCCTCTTCTCGTAATCTCAAATGTCCGTTCCTGACTGGCGGGAAGCTGAGGGAGATGGAGCTCCGGTGTGACTCCAGCTGCTGGAAAATCCACCTCCTTCCCCAAAGTGGAATTCAGCTTCTACTGAGATTAAAGATTTAGTGCTACTTTTTATCGCTTGCCTTCAGCATTCCAAAGGTTTACAACAGTCTTGTGATATGTTGTCAAATCTTTCTCAATAAGCTGTTAAAGCATTGTATTCTGAACAAACAATAAACCCCAGTTCTAAGAGTCATGAATCACTGGCTTCCAGAGAAGCTGAAATTTAAGAAAAGAATGCTAAATTTTGTAAGGTTTATGGCTGAACCAGGATTGTTGTTTTTCACATGTCATCTCCGGCCAGAGGGCAGCACTGTACAATGGCGCTGTGACACAGCCAGACACAGACGGTGAATTTGGGAAGAAACCCTGTACATTATGAGTATTTTGGTGCATTTCATCTTTAGGTGTTCAGCTTTTCCTTCCAAAAAAATCCAGTCTTTCACTTCAGAATGTTTAAATTCATGGTGATGCCAAAGAGAAAATACAGCACTCCTGGGAGTCCTGGTGCGGGCCAGAGGAACAACCCCTGGTACTCCTTGGCACTCTCTGGTTCTACAATGTTTTTCTGCAGGGCAGAGATCAGGGCTCCCACACCATCAGCTCTGTGGCAATAACCCCAAATATCACAAACTTAAACTGCTCTTACCTTTGCAGTTATCATATGCCAAGGTGTATTTTCAACTCATAACTATGTCATCCTAATTGGCTCCTCATTAGAGGTCTCTCTGAGAGTGTTAGAAGTTACTTAGGATATAAATATCTTAAGGCTTGTCCTTTCTAGGGAAAAAATTTTCAAAGCTCATTGTTGATAATATCATGTTTAGTGCACAGCAGTCAGCAGTATTGGAAGCTGTGCTCAATCCAGCTCACAGCCAGCAGCATTTCAAACGTGGTGATGTTTAGACTTGTTAGCAAGTTAGATGATGTAGTTTTTAAAATGTTGCTCCACTAGCTACTGCCACTGAACTTTTCTTCTTTGGTACTTGTATGAGTGAGCAATCCAAATCCTGCCTGAGTAGGTAATTAAAAAAATCATGCATTGATTTATTCAAGGAAAACCTCAGGCTATGATGATATGAACACAAGGTGCTTCAATTAACAGGGGGAAGTCAAAGAAAGGAGAATTAATAAATTGAAATTTTCAGATCTTTCATCTTAAGTCTTTGGCCTTTAGGTATCTTGAGATCACTCCGGAAATATTTATGTAAAATCTCTGTAGCTCTTTCCAACAACTCAACATCAAAATCAACAGATTTTTGTTTGATATAGAACTTCCAAAATTACACCATGCCCCCAGCAACAGATTGCAAACAAAACTAAATACATCAACTTATGAGAAGCCAGTTTAATGACTTCTTCACACATGGAACAGCAATCATAAGAAACCCCAACTAAAATAGTGTTTATATCTGAGTTAACAAAAAAATAACAAAAATTTCCATGCTTCCAACTTAATAGTGCACACATATATGTAAATATAAATACATCTAAGCAGATAAATTTGTATCCAGAATATGACAGGTAAATTAACTACAATCAATAAATGGACTAACAGATTATTTTCCTAGAGTCCGCTTTCTTTATTTATTTTCCCTTTTTAAAATCTTCTTGTCAAAAAACCCACCAAAATTAAATTCCAAATATTGACGGCATATGTTTAAAAAATATAGAAATATGTATATATACATTTATAGATAAATGTGTATAATAGATACTCTAGTAAGTGTTTATATACATTTATATATATAAGAAGGAAAATTACTAGGAAAGCAAATGAGGAATCATTTTGAAATGTTAAGATGGGAAGAAAGAAACGAGGGCAGCAGTGGAGGGATGCATTTCTCTTGTCCTGCCTCTACCAAGCTGTGCAGTAGATGGCACCACTCGTGCCAGAGAAAATGTTACTGCTCAGAAACTTTTAAATTAAATTCACTGTGATGAAACAGGACAACATCTATCACCTGCTAATTACAGGAAAAATGACTAATCTATTTCTAATGAACAAAGCCCAGAGAAACAGGAGATGAAATGTCATTCACTGATAACAGCTCACAACTTCAGATGGGATATTTCCTTAAAAATAACTGGTGGTTAAAAAGAACAACCCAAAACCAATGTATGTGTAAAGTTTACCTGGCTCCACAGTGAGAAACACCTGCAAAATATTTATTCTGTGGTGAGTCAAGTCACTGTAAGAGGAAGTGAGATTTTGTTACCATCCCTTCTTTTGGTATTTTATCTTTCAGCCAGAAATAAACTCTGCATTCTTTAAAGGAAAAGTACCTTTCATCTAACCTCTATCAATTTTGAAATCCACATTTTCTAATGCTTTTAGGGATAGTAAAGTAATTTGGTGGCAGGGCAAAATAGATATTTGAGACAAAGAAAGTAAATAAAACTTTACAAAGTAAATAAAAGATGAATTTTTAATAATTTAGTATAAATTCCATGTGCACTCATAGTAATTAAGCTAAAACCAGGCAGCACTGTATGGCTGAACATTTGAACACACAATTCTTACATGCTGAGAAGTTTGAGCTTGCCCAGCTCTATCTTAGTCACTGTTCTTCCCTCTCTCCTCAACTGGGCTCAAACCAAGATAGGACACTCCTGCAGCCTATTAAGAAAAATTCTGATTAAAAAACATGTTGAAGAGGAAATATGTTGAAACAAACAAATGAAAGATATTTGTACTAAAATATAACTGGAAAGCAAGAATGATGCTTCTATTCCATGCTCATATGACAGCTTGAAAATAGCAATCTTGAAAACATCTGCACCATTTCATCTGGCTTTCAAAAACTAAGATGTCTTATTTTCTATTTATTTTCTTTTTGTTGTCAAAATCCTAGAAAGTATGAACACTCAGGTGTGGTTTTACTCTTTAAACACAAAAATGCCACCAGCTGTACATTGAAACTATTTAAACCTAAATCTGCTGCATTTATGGGAATGCTACACTAGTGGTGTCATAACCCCAGATTTCTGCCAACAGGTAAAACTTGGGGTTGGTTTCAGACAGTTGTTACTAAATATTAAATAATCCCTGGGGAAAATGAAGTCAGAAGATGATGTAGGAGCTCTGAGACCGAGTACTCTGGGACACAGAAATGACGGGTGGGGCAGTTGATTAATATTCTACTTCATTTTTGGAAGTCTAGATTAAAATCAACCTTATGTCATTCTTTAAAATGCATTTGGTGATTTTAATTAAGCTGCTAATGTTAATTGGTCTGCACCATAAAAATGCCAGGGGCACTCTGGTGTAATTTTGGATAAATGGCAACCTTTGCTTTTGAGAGTCTTAAGGCTCAGTAAAAAGGATATCAAATAAAAAATAGCATGGATGTCTTATCTTGGTTTTTCTTCTTTTTTTTTTTTTTTCCTAGTGGAGAAGAGAAAAGCCATGATTCAATTATAAACATGAATACAGCCCAAAACACGTCTTATCAAGCTGTTACACAAGCAGTTCTGGACTCAGTGAGATTGCTGGTCAGCCTTCATTGAAGACTCTCTGCTGCTTTTTCAAGGTACAATTTAAGCCCATTTAAGCATTTTTCAAAGTCTTTCTGCACAGACCACTCTTTTCTCTCTTCTCAGAACAAACTCAAAAGTGTCATCTGGATGTCACTGCTGTGACCCATCCCCTGGACCTGGGCATGGAGGAAGGGGTGACATTTTACTCTGTTTTGCCTTGTCCCACTGCTGCCAGCCAGGACAGCCACCAAACACCTTGGGTTTGGTTTGATGGATCTCCTTCCAGGCAGCTTTCTGCCTGCTGCTCTGGGGATCTAGAGGTACTGGAACAGAAGAATCACCCAGATGTCCCACAGCCAAAGGTGTGTACAGCTCACAGCCACATGAAGGTGTCAATGAAATGTCTGTGTAATAAAACCGTGGAGCCTGTGCACATAAATACAAACTCCTATAACATAAAGTTCTCCCTGACTGATCTCACATGTTGCTCTCAAAGGGAGTTCAGTGCAGAATTTGGGTCTTAAAGAATTGAATAGAACAAATTTATATTATTCTCTAAAGAGAAAAATCTTCTGGCAGAAACAGGAGTTTGGAGCTGTTGACTAAGGACTTTTCTACACTGGAAAGTGGACTGGAAATGCCATTGCAGGATCAGCTATTCTACAATGACTTATTTGACCCATGACTTTTCCAGACTAGAATATCCACACAGGGAGCTATTATGGATAGTTTATTCAGAAATAACTATTTTGGTCACTTTTCCCATGCAGAGAAATGCACAGTGTCCATGCATAGCTGTAGTAAGATTGGTTTATTTTTTACAGAAAAATATATTTTGTCTGATATATAACATATGGCAAAATGGGAAAGTAGAAAGGGAATTTTGAATAAGATCATGATGCAATTGATTAAGATCCTTTATTTAATTTACTAATATAAGATATATTATAATAATTTACTATGATTACTTACATACTAAGAGCATCTTTACATCTGCACGGTTGTGTCCATTACAGGATGTTGCATCAGTTTAACTAAATCATTAAAAAAAACCTCATTTCTAATTAAGTCAGAGCAAAAATATTAACAAAATGACTCGCTGTAGTCTCTGATTGCTGGATCTCACATCTCAGTCATCAGCCTTGTGGTAACATCATACATGTTAGAAATATAAAAATGTTCTGTGCTTCTGCGAAATCCAGGCTTTTTGGTGTTAGCACATCCATTTTAATAATCAATAAATGAACAAGAAATATCCATTTGCTGCCAACAGTACCTTTGCTAGGTAAAGAACTCCTGTTTGTGCCTTAGGAACAGATGGATGACAAGTGGGTCTAGCACTCATTAGCAGAGTTCCTTCCTAAAAAGCTGATGTAGTGTTAATTTATTATTTCAATACTTTTCTGCATGTCCTCTACTCTGTAATGTTACAGGGTCTCTCATGCATTGTCCTGGAATGCTTCCATGTTTGGATCCACTCAGGAGGATCTCTGAGCTTTGCCAGGAATGGAAGACTGGGAACTTAACACATCAAGAAGAAATTAAAAATAGAGAAATGGCTTCGCTGAAGATACCAACAACCATCCATTAGTCCAAAGAAAAGAATATCTGAAGTTTTCTTTATAAATTAAACTGAAGGTTATCTTCCAGCTCTTTAGTGAAGTTTGATACTTCATCAGAAGGAAAATTAACATGCTCATCAGCCAGTCCAGATTCTTAGGTGGTGTGGAGAGCTGTGTGAGATCATATCCTCAGCAAAACTATGGAATGCTAGGAAGCGAATCAGGAGAGCCAATTCCTAACTCTCATTTTAACGATGGGGTGCCTCATGTTAGTCATGAAATGTAAGCAAATAATAGGTGTTGCTGAAGGGCTGCTCTTACACTATTGGCTCTTCCCTCTGAAAGATTAAAGCAGGAGAGAACCATTCCTTTAAGTTTTAAATACATTGATTCTCTACATATTTCAGCTGTTTTGTGATGGCAAATACATCAAAATCTTATTTTTTGAATGTATTTTGAAGAACAAGGGCAGAGCCTTCAAATTCAAAGACTGGAGAAGGGTGACTGACCAGGTTTTTGTAACACTCTGCTCCCATGTCCATCTCTCAGGTACTTGTTCCACCTTCATATTTCACTTACTCTCCTTGTACAGAGAGGAAAACGACACAACACAAACCAAAGAGGTCACTGTGCTCCTATAAGGGGTGTTTAGTCACTAATAATGTAGAATAAATTTTTTAAAATCATGCAAAAAAAAATATTTATGGAGATTCAAACTGATTTCCAATCCTAATGGAAAACTTCTCTTTTCATAACCTCTACAGTGTCTGCTTTATGAGAAATGTCCTTGCAGAATATCTAGCCATTATCCTCATTCTTGTTAATTTTCTGCTGTTATGAGGTAACAACAACAGCCTTGATTTATTTTTTCTGTGTTGCAGATCATTCTGTTTTCTGTTTGAGAGCTAAACTGAAAGTGAACTTTTGCTCTGAAATTATACACTTCAATGTTTTATATGACACACTTGTAATAAACATATTAAATTACATACCGTGATGCTAGAGCACTGTAATAAAAGTCTTTGCTGCCGAGTGCTCGAGAAATTATGAAACAATTGTTTTCAAGTTTTCATAACTGTAAAATCCCCAAATGGACTTGATGTTTGAGAGACATTTCTGTGCATCACAAATGCATAATTTTCAAAAGGAAAAACCTGTAAGTTTTGCCAGCTGACCTCCTAGGTAGAGCCTTGCCCATAAATGCATCGAGGCAGATTGGTGCAAACGATATGTAAAGTTCATCTTTGTACTCCATTCATTCTCACTTCATTACTGGCAAGATTAGTAATAACCAATTTGCATTGATTTATACCAGCTATTTACAGTCCCCAGGGCACAGAAGTTATTCATCCATGGAAAAACCTGTCATACTCTCCTTTTTTCTAGTCATGCCCCTATCTATGTGGTAATAGAGGGATGGAGTTTCTGCCTCTGGTGTGTCCTGCACAGAAGCCAATGTCTCCAAAGCCAAGTACAACAGCAAAATATGGTTTTGGCAATAGCTAGGATAGAGACATAAAGATTACAATGAGAAAAAGGCTGAAGTTCTCAAACCCTCTTTTACACTGATTTGAACAGGCACAAGCAGCTCCCAGGCAGCTCAGTCTACCAATTTGACAAGGAAAAAGTGATGGAGCAGAGCAGGGACCTGGCAGTGAAACTGGACAAACTCAGATAGATGGGGCTCATTATGCTGTGCCCACTTTTGGCTCCCCCAATCTAAGAGCAGTGTGGAGAATCGACAGGAGGTTCAGCAGAAGGTGCTGGGATACTCTGGGCCAAGAGCACAGGATCTAAATGGAAGGACTGAAGGTGCTGGGCTTGCTTGTCCTGGCAAAACAGAGGCCAGGGACTGGTCTCTGCCTGCACAGCAGTTACAGAGATGACAGCCAAGTTCAGGGTAGGTAGTGTCATAACACAGAACAAGGAGCAATGGCCATAAATCACAGCGTGGGAGGTTTAGTTGAAAATTAGAAAAAAATGTTGCTCATTTTTCAGGCATTCTTTGAGAAGCAAAAACAAAACCCCCTCAAAAACTATGAAAACAACACCCAAGTATGACTACAGCTGAAAAACCCAATAGAAAACAAAAAATTGCCATCCCCTGGTTTCTTATTGTTTCAGCTATCTCCTACCTTTGATATTACACAAATTACAGTATTACACACATTTAATTATACAGGCATTTTACGTACATATGCTACCTGGTTTTGTTTAGCATTCTTTGTATGCAATTAGTAGTTGACAGAATGCCATTTTTTTGTTGAGTAATGAATTCTTTTTCTACAAGCAAACCCCAATAGCGCTTAATCTGCAATACAATGTTGACTATCATCTCTGAATCAAAAATTAATTCTTCACAATGAATTCATTCAATTGTTTGGGCACTATTGCATCACTGTGTCCAATGGGATTAAAAAGTTGGGAAAAAACTCAACCGAAAGGAAACTGCAGAACTCCATTGGCCCAAAAACCACGAGCATGCTAATTAACTAGAAGCAGTTACTTGAATAATCAAGACAGGTTTTTTCTTGTATTTATTACCTGCACTTTCAGGTATTTGTTACATCAGCTGTGATATTTATCTAAGCATTGGTTTAGAACACCACATGTGTGTGAGAGTAAAGGGGTTAATTTTGATCACTCAAACTGCAGATATTCCATTTAAGGCACTTGTGACAGCAGCAAGTTTTCACCTTTCCCTCAGGATTTTAAATCCACTAGCACTTTTCAGATGGCTTATAGCAGTTTTAGTGCTTCCCAAACACAGTTCCAACCATTCAGCTGTTCAGTACCCACTGAGAAAATTGGTTTCCTTTCCTTTGCTACTTCTCAGTTTCCACAGACATGTGGTTAATATCTTCAATACAGACTCTCTATTCAAGAAACACAAAATGTTTACAACATGGGTGACATAATTATCTCTACAGTGTTAAAACCCAAGAAGTGGATTTGCCCACAAGCAAGCTAAAGCTTTCTCCACAGAAAACTTGTAATGGTAAAGATAATGTCTGGAGATACATAAATCTAGATTTATGCTTTATTACACTGACTAGTTTTTGAAACTTTTCATTTTTAAACCCATTCCTGAGAGTTTACCCTTGTTCTACTGAGCCCATCAGTTTGGATCTGATTTAACAATGTCTCTGTGCTTCAAAATACTGCTGCAAGGACTCATGAGCCCTCCCATAAATTTTCTTGATGAGAGAAGCTTTTGTATGAACTTCTTAAAACAGTTGGCAACAAAATCTAAGAAACATCTACCACACTTCACTGGATTGGATTAAGGGATGAAAAAGTAAGAGGAGAGCAAACACCACAACACTTTGTAGTCCTGTTTGACAGCTAAGGGATAAATTGCATCCTGCCTTCTATTCTTAATAAAAAGCATAAGACCTATTATACTTGTTAATCCAAAATCCACCTAGACTAATATTCCCCTTCTGACAGCAAGAAATACTGGACATCATGAGAAGAGTACAAAACCAGTGTTTAGTGATGTATTCCCAACATGTTTATGACTCAAAGACTTCTGGAATAACTGGTGGGACTTCATATTCAAGGACTTCTGCTGGTGTCTTTGTATTCATCAGGGTTTTTTTTTCCATGGATTTTATGCACATTTTTAACATAATACATCCTGTGACAGGGAATTCCACGGATTAACTACTCATTCTCAAAGATGTCTGTTCTTGAACCTGCCATTTTCTAATTAGTTATGATGTTCTTTAATTATGATGTTGAACAAGACAGTGAATAATCAGCCTTTTTCCACCTTTGCCACTAGGTTGAAGTTTTGGTGGGTTTTTATTCAGAATTTTAATGTATTTCCACGCTGCTTCCCCTGACTTCTATTGTCATGGGTTAGGGAAGGAAGAAAAGAGAAAAGAAAATAATAAAGACAGGACTGTGAAAATGGGAAAAAAGACAGAACTGCTTGGGAGCCTGAAGCAAGATGAAGGCAATGCAGTGCTTGGTTGTTTGCATTTCTGTCTGGGGCAGAGAGTGAGAGCAGAAAAATGGGCTGGGCCCAAAAACACAGGAAGGAGAGTGGAAATCCCCAAATGACAGGAACAGGTGACAACTTCAGGCAAAACATTTTGTCTTGTTTTGATGAAGCAGGTATTGAGATTCAGACAGAATTTGGGCCATCAGAACTTGGCTGGAAGCTACACATTCTCTCTGTTCTTTCCTTTCCTCTGTATTTGTCAGATCTGCAATCAAATGAAAAAAAATCCAGTTTTAAATTCCTTAACACTTGGGCGTACACAAGCAGGTTTTACCTCCTTTATATCCCTGCAGTCCCACTAATGTTTCAGCCCATGAGAATCTGAGGTCATAGTTTGGCTTCAAGGAAATTCAATGTACTGAAGTACACTAAGGACATACACCATCTTCTCTCACCACTGGAGGGAACATTTTTGCTCTAGCTTTACAAAGAACTTGGATGTCATTAAGATAAAATAGATTATGGAGAATTTGATATACGTGTAAATGCTTCCAGATATTTAATCAATGGGGAAGCAGTGGAACAGGTTTAGGCAGCCTACAGGTTGATGACCTGTTCTGATAAAACCTGGCTGGACTATTGAAGTCATTCAATATCCATCCCTGCTGCAGTTTCTCATGGCCAGCCACTCACATGGAGCACAAATTCCTGATTTTATTACCTTTTAACTTGCCCCCCTCATACAGGTTATTGGAACAGGATATAAGAAAGTAATCTGAAAGCAACACTGAAGTTTTCAGTGTTCTATCCAAACACTGTGTTCAGTTTCTATCCAAAACGACCCTCAAAAAACCTCAACAATAAACAACTCCCCAAAAATGCTCAAAAATCCCCCAACAACATAACCAAACTATTATATATGTCCAGATTGGGATGGAGAGGAGGAAACTGTAGGAAATATTGGCTATGAGTCTTACTATATGCATCAACATGAAATCTTGGCTGCCCACTCTATGAGCTAAAAGGTTGGATAGTAACAGTGCTCTAGAAAAGATTGAACCCTGGGGCTTACTGTGAGGCAGTGATGGATTTAATGAGCTGGGTGTGTCTAGAGGGAATGAAGGAGATTCTTCTCAGGACGTGCCTGCACTTGAAACTGTGTGGGGCTTGTGCATCTGTGTTAAATGATTTGAAAAAAAACTATTGTGTGATCAATGACACACACACACACACCTCCTCACAACACTGCCCTGCATGCATGATATTCTTATTTCTGTCATTACAATTCCTCCTTCAATCACAACAGGCTTCTTAGGAGCTTAGTTTAATTTCTCATCTTGTTTAAACTCCTTTAGTGTTTTGTGTTATTTACCACATGTTCAGCTGTGAACCATTTCAACCCTTTCCTGTTACAAATAGAAAGAAACCTGGCAGATTAGTATGTAACTAAAACAAAAATGCCCAGTGAAAAGG